GAGGTGCTCAGGATTTTTCCTGGCCTCAGGAGTTAGAGGTCAGAGGACTTTGTTGGAGGGCTGTGTCAACATCTGGAATTTAGTCCTATCTCTCCTGTTCTTATCAGCCCTTTGTTCTTCTCAGTAATTATAGACCTTGAAGACCACATTTAAAATTTCAGCCTGTGGAGTCTGAGGGCCATTTTCCAGCTTTTTAAGTTTTCTTCTTATATCTGGGGCTGACTGGGAGATAAAGTGGGTCATAAGAATGATTGTCCCATCCTGAGTTTTAGGGTCAACTTTTGTATGGTGTTGTAGCACCTCTGTGAGCCAGGACAAGAAACTAGCTGGATTTTCCTCTTTTTTTTTTTTTGTTGAATTTCTCTGAGTTTATTAAAATTGATAACCTTTTGGGCTGCCTTTTTTAGTCCTGCCACTAAACAAGTAACCATCTGATCCCTAAGCATTCTACCACTTTTTTGGTAATCCCAATGAGGCTCCTCAGTAGGGATCGCTGTAGCCTCTACAGGATGGGCAAGGATGGTGTGATGGATCTCATCTGCATGTGCCCTATCTGCATCCCAGACCCTGCATCTGTCCTCTGGAAGGAGGGTGGAGGAAAGAATGAGATAGCTGTCATACCAAGTAAGGTCATAGGATTGAGTATTGGAACTCTTTAACATAAGAATCTGGGTTAGTGGTGAAGGAGCCAAGGTGCTTTTCTATCTGAGAGAGGTCAGCGAGGGAAAAGGGGACATGGACCCTCACAATGCCTTCCATTCCAGCCACTTCCCAGAGAGGGTAGATGGAAACTGGCTGACTGGGGGGGGGGGGTCTGTGAGAGCAAGTGTGTGGGGGGCTCATGGGATCCTGAGGTTCTGGGTGGGCAGAAGGATGGGTGTAAGGAGGGTCAGAAGGAGGGGCAGGGGCCAACAACTGAACAATGGAAGCTCGTCTCTGATAAGGTGGAAGCTCGTTAGCAGGGTCGAAAGAAGGGAAAGTTTCAGAGTCTGAAGGGGGTTCAGAAGAGGATTTGGCTGGTTTTGAGACTGGTTTAGAGGATAACAGAACCTGTGCAGGGGACCAGGAAGTACAGAGGGAGGGTTTGGTGGGGAGATAAGAAAAGGATTGGATGTAGGGAAGTTCCTTCCATTTACCAGCATGCTCACAGAAATTGTATAAATCTCTTAAAATATTGGGATCAAAAGTGCCATCAAGTGGCCATTTGGAGACATTGTATAATGGGTATTGGGGCCAGACCTGATTAGAGAAAAATGAGCTTTGTGGCTTAAGATCAGGTGTTAGGCGGAGTGGCCCAAGATTAGCCAGAAGACATCCCAATGAGGAGTCTGAAGGAATTTTGGATGGTCCAACTCCCATGGTGAGGCCTGACCTGAGGAGAGATATGGCGGGTGTCCCTGAAATATCAGGTCCTCAGGAGAGAGAGATGTGGAGCACTCAGAGTGAACGTCTTCACCACAGGGGTCCACAGTCCCTAGTGGACTCAGGAGCGAGCTGAGACCTAGCTCTAGGATTTCGAGGAAATGAGAGAGATCACAGCTCTGCATGCGAGGACTCACTGAGGACCTTGAGGGAAGATTGGCAGGTGGTGGATGGTGGTTAGAGGTGAGGTAGGGCAGAGGAATTTCCCTGTGAGCTAGTGAGGGAGAGGCACTTTTTAGGATCGGGGGTTCTGGCAAAGCAGCTCTAGTCCCGGAGGAAGGGAATGGGAGTAGAGAGAGAGAGAGAGTGGGATGGGGTGGGGGAGGCTGGGAGAGCAAGGTCAGTATCAGGAGAGCAACCAATCTGAGTCACAGCACCAAATGTTAGGAAAAATGTCGTTCACAAAGAAAGCTCACGAGAAAATCTCATGTCCAAGAGCAGAGTTTAATGGCAGGCTCAAACTGCCAGGCTGGCCAGGGAAAGATGGCACAGCACAGATTCTGGGCCAGGCATGGCTTTTATAGAAGTGGGGGGTTAAGGAAGTTAGCACATGCATGGTAGTCTCTGGTAGGGGTGGGGCTGTCTTAGAGTGTGGGAATTTCTGTTAAGGGTGGGGCTGTCCTTGGGAGTTTCTCAAGTGAGGTCTGAGGATAAAATGGCCGCTGATTTACAAATGGCAACATTACTGTTCTATCTGGGGCAAGGTTTGAGTTTGAAAACTGCACATCAAAACCAATGTGGATATGGGAAACCAGGGGGAAATAAATTAAATCTCTTTTGAAGAGAACTCCCCCTTGGCCACTGACCTCACAGTGGTGCTTCTCTAGCCACCTCTCACTGCCCCTATGACAACACCGTTAGCTCTTATTTCACTTCCACCAGAAAGCCATGGTTAATATTCATTTTAACATCTTATCTCAAGGAGTCCATGAAGTCTGTGACAAAAAAAGAAAAAGCAGCTCAAGGTTGTTAGGGTCGAACTCTAAGAAGAAATGGAAACTGAGAAACTGTGACTGGAGTTTGCCATGTTTAAGAAAAAAATGCTTGCTATTGTGCTAGGAACATACATTATGAAGAGTGAAGATGTGGACTGAAGGTGAGACTCAACTGGTAAAGTGCTTGCCTAGCAAGTGTGAGGTCGAGTTCAAACTCCACTACCAGCAAAGAGTGAAGATGTAAAATTAGTGGTGTTCATTCAACTTTTAGATTTGAACAATAAAGTTAAACACAGTCACAATTTTTCACACATATTTTATTGTTTAGAAATTTCCAGCAGAGTTACCAGATGCCTGTGAGAACTGAGATTGGAAAATAGCCAAGGACAGACAGGTCTGTGTCTGCTCTTTCTGAAAACTTCACACATCAGAATGGAAGAACCAGCCTGGCCTCAGTTTGAGGTGTGAGGCAATGGACTGCCTGAGGCTCAGTTCTGCATAAGCTTCCCCAGCATTATCCACATGCAGTTCTGGGTGAACAGAAACTGCACAGGCATCAACTCAAAGTGTGACCCCCAAGTGACAAACAGCTTTCTCAGGTGGTACCGGAACAGGAAAGGCATCATAGAAAAGACACTGTACAAAGTCAAATGTACCATTATTGGCATTCCTTACTCTAGTTAATCTAAACTAGTTGACCTTGTTACCCCTTTTATCTTAAAAGCAAACCAAGTGTGTATGGCATCTTTTAAAAAGTCATGTAAACCTTGCAAAGATTTGAGGGATATTTGTAATTGGGGAGACTTATAAAAAATTACCAGACTTGTTAAGACTATAAATACTAACCCTTCCCCCCCCATGATAAAAGCAATTGTTATAAAAATATAAAAAATATACTAGCTTCTACTATTTAACCTTCCTTTCAGGAACCTCAAGACTTTGGGACACATCTGGCTTATATGCCATACAGCAAGCACAAGTACAACCTTTTTAACTTTTCAAGGAAGGAAAAGTACCAGAATATTCCCTTTTGTTATTGAGATTGTGGCTACTTACTTTACAGGGATTGCAATGCTAGTAAGTAATGACAGCTTAAAGTTTTCTATTGTATGGTTTTCTATTGTATGTCCTCAACATGGACCCAGTGTGGAAATCAGCATGGGAGGTGGCTTCAAACTTACTCTAACTCCTTCCCATTTCTCTCTCCAGTTCCTTCAGCTCCACTGTGGGACTTGCTGCGTCTCCAGGCTCCTGAGTTGGTGGCCAGGCTCCCTCACTTCCCACTGCAGAAGGCAGATGGTAAGGCAGATCAGCTCTTGGGGAGGGGACTGCGAATACTGAGCCTGCTGCCGCCTGCAGCACCAGCTTCCTTGGCATGAGGTCAGCTCCAACCCAGGTCTGCTGATGCCAAGGAAGCTACATGCTTGGTGGATGAAACCCTGTGGCCTGAGGGATGGCCGATGCTCTAGCACATTATCTGTGGAGCTAGGAAGGGAGGCAGGAGCTAATGTGAAGGCAAAACACTCTGCATTCCATTAAAACACTTCCTTAAACATCAAGTCAGATCACATTCAGTCCTCCATAGCAGCCAGTCTACCTGATACTTTTAGTAGCTATGCAACGATTCAAGAAACTTCAGGGGCTTGACTTGGTTGGTCAAGTCCTTAAGGATCCCTTTTTCTGGCTCAGGGCATTTTCAGGTCTTTTCTTATCCTTACTGTCACCAGCAGGGGGCAATGTATGTAATGCTCAGTCAAGCCCTTGGAAAAAACTGTCACTAGGTAACCAGTAGGATGGATCCACAGGCCACTAGGAAGCATCCCTCCACAGAACTGCTTGTGTCCCTGAAGTTCAGGAGACCTCTTGGACCAGGGCCTCAGCTTAAGTATATTTAAGAGAACCTTTCCCCACAAAGCCCTTGGTGTATGCAGTCTTTATTACTGCTGTGTGGCTCAAAAGAGGAGACCTGGCTGAACTTGGTGGCTGGCTCACATCCATTCCTCCTTTTAGGATCTCTGATCTTGGCCATAGTCCCACTGACTACCACAACTTAGTCTGGCATCCTGTTCTTTCCCTGCACTACTGCTCTCATCATTCTTCTTTGACATGGACTGGCAGCCTCCAGGCCAGAATAATGATCCCTCTCTGAGCTCCTCCTGGACTTCTAGACTCTAATGTTCAAAGGACTATATTTTCATACCACTAAGGGCTTTATTTCATAGATCATGTTGGTAAGCTCTGGATTTTTAGTCCTCACCACGGTGGAGTCATACATTCCCAACATCTGCTTGTTTCTCCAGATCTGAAACATCTCATTCAATACACCTTGGTTGTTTATAACCCCAAAGGAACTTTCCAAAAGCAACAACAGATGATTCAGAGAACCCTAACCATATCTGTTGAGCAAGTCCTCTCTACTTTGGTTGCATCAAAAAATCAGGGCCTTCGAGAAACTGCAAATTTACATTTGCTCAGGAGAGAAGTGCTCCCAACATCAAGGCACAAGAAAGAAGTCTCCTGGGCAAAATGACGATGAACGTGACCATTGACCTGTGCGGTCTGAGGCAGAACAGTGGGGGAGTCCTGGGTGGGTGTTGGGAAGAGACCTGAAGAGGGAATCTCCTTTTAGGGCCTGAAGCATCCTCATGCATACTTCTGCAGGAATTTTATGTGAAAGTCCTTCACCTTCTGGAGCACAGTCTTCAGCTTCTCAACTGGAGGAAGAATGGTCATTCTGTCAGGAAAGAGAATAGCATCAGCCTGACTACTCTGGAAAAGGGGGAGGAATGAATCCAGCACCTCTTCTTGCATTGCCATAAGTGGACACAGGAGTGAGGGTAAGCCATGTGGGATGGAATAGCTCTGTCTCATCCATTTTGACAACTCAAACCCCGAGACAGTGCCCAGCACTTGTTAAACTTTTTTCCCTAGTTCATTCGTTCATTCATTCATTCTTTTGAGACAGGATCTTGCTATGTTGACCAAGCCAGCCATGAACTCTAAGCTCAAGCAATCCTCCTGCCTCAGTCTCCAGAGTAGCTGGGACTACAGGTGCATACCACTATGCCTGGCTTATACATTTTTACCTAAGAAATACATGTAGGGGATGGAGGAGTGGCCCAAGTGGTAAGAACACCTGCCTAGCAAGCATAAGGCCCTAAGTTCAAACCCCAGTGCCTTCTAAAACAAAACAAAACAAAAAACATGTAAACAAAGGCAATAAACTGTTGTGGCCTTTAGGTTCACTAAGACACATTGGTATATTACTACAGAAGGCCTGTACTACATTTTGACTAGTGTGCAGAACTTTCTACAGCATGACTCTTGGTCTTTCTCTCAGACATAGAGCAAGATTTCACTCCTGCTGCCTGGAACCTTTTTTTGCCTACAGCGGTCAGTCCCTGACATGAGACAACCTCCAGGCATGGCTGTCACTCCAAAGACACTCCCAAGTCACTCAAGTCTATCTCTAGTTCTGATGACAGGCTTCTCAACCATAGAAGCAGTCCTCTTGATTACTGTTTTTTTGGGAGGGTGTTAGGGATAGAATCTAGGCCCTTTCACTTGGCATGGGCTCTATCACTGAGCTATATACCTCAACCCCAGCACATACATGTGTGTGTGAGTGTGAGTGTGTGTGTGTGTGTGTGTGGTGCTGCGGATTAAACTGAGGGCCTTGCACATGCTAGGCCAAGTGCTTTACCACTCAGCTACAACCCCAGTGCTCTCAGCACCAGTTTTTGAATGGGCCATGAATTATAACCTGACTAAAGATGAAAAAGTACAACCAGACATGGTTTTTCCTTTGGGGGACATGATCCACAATCTTTTTTTTTTTTTTTTTTTTTGTGGCACTGTTATTAGAACTCCTTTTTTTGCACTTGCAAAGCAGGCACTCTGCCACTTAAACCACATTTCCAGTCCATTTTTCTGTGGTTATTTTGGAGATGGGAACTCATGAACTCTCTGCTAAGGCTGTTCCCAGCTCAATCCTCCTTATCTCAGCCTCCCAAGTAGCTAGGATTATAAGCGTGGACCAACAGCACCCGACACAATCCACAGACTAAGCAGACTTGGCCCTGGGTACCAACGGCTGATGACTTTTCTTTTTTTGGCATCTGCCACAGGAGATATTTGAGAGCAACATGGATGGAGAAGATGCTATTCTGAACAGAATGGACCTCAGCGGGAAACCCTTGCCAAGCAGCTCAGCTCTGGGAATCTGCATTCCCATCCATACAGCGGGCTGAGCCAGGGTACACTGGTCTCACAGCTGGGGGAACTAATTTTGAATGTGGGTGCAGCACTTCAGCAGGTTTTAGGACTCACAGCAATGCCATGGCCCATGGTGCAGCCAAGCAGATATGGAGCACCTACTGTGTGCCATGTACCATCCCAGGCATCCGGATGTTCTGTGCTGCTATCATGATGTTTAAAAGGTTCAGCAAAATAAAGAAGAAAGCACACTTCTGGGGATGTTTCCAATGGTGATGTGATAGATAGAGGCAGCATACTGGGGAGACAGAACAGTCAAGGAAGACCTCTCAGAGGAAATGGTTTTCCTTATCCCTGGGTAGAAGGTCTGAGCTTGACTCTGCAGGACAGGAGTGGTGTGAGGTGGGTGAGGTGTGCTCAAGGAGGACAGGTACCCCACCACCCCTCTGAAGCCAGTCTGCACTTCATGTGAAGGACCACAAGTTTCCCTGAACAAATCCTGGCCAGTTCCCTAGTGCAGATGTGTCTTACCTGAAGTGGTAGGTGCCTTCCCTCTGTCCAAAGCCACTGCCAGGCACAACACAGATGCCTGTCTCCTCCAGGAGTTTCATGCAGTAGAACATGTCTGGAGCCATCTTATGGGCCTGCAAGAGCAGGACAGAACTTAAAAAAGATTCATTCCTGGTTTCATACTGTACCAACACACCATTAAAAACTCAAAACTGAATACAACCTAAGTGGCAGTTATCATTTCTGTGGTGGGGTCCTTGCCCTCCCTAGACTGCAGACCAGAACAGAAGCTGGGTCACAGCTGGTAACTGGTTCAGGGAATTAGACACACTGAGGTTACTGCAGGACAGCCAGCAACTACAGCACTTCTGTTTGCTGTTGGGGAGTGCCAGCCTATTCCCTTTGTACTTATCCCTAGTGGCTACTCAACAGGCACTGATAGCAGCCACTGATGTGCCAAGCCACATAATAATGAAAACAAGGCCCTGTGGTCTGCAGTCAGTGGGGACTCTCAAGGGACAAGCTTCTCTAGGGTCATTGGTGATAGTGCTGCTCAAAGTTGTACCACCAGGGATTCCAATTTTTATGTTCAGGGCAGGGCCTACACTGAGTGCTTAACAAGGCTCTGAGCAGATCCTGGAGTGGGGAGAGAAGAGCATTTTTAGAAACAATACCCTGCACTTGATCCTCAAAGTGGGGTCTGTAGCACCACCTGAGAACTTGGAAATGCATAATCTCAGCATTAGTAAACTAGAACTGGTGTTTTTTTGTTTTGTTTTTTGTGGCACTGGGACTTGAACTCAGGGCCTACACCTTGAGCCACAACGCCAGCCCTTTTTTTTGTGAGGGTTTTTTTTGAGATAGGGTCTCACAGAACTATTTGCCTGGGCTGGATTCAAACCGCGATCCTCTTGATCTCTGCCTCCTGAGTAGTTAGGATTACAGGGGTAAGCCACTGGCACCTGGCTAGAACTGGCGTTTTAATAAGACTCTAGAAGACTGCTATACATAGGGAAGGAGATGGATTCCCCAGCATTGCATCCACACATGGGCACCTCCCTTGGAAGCCAACAGTGTTAAGCTCCCAGATGCTCCTCTTACTTGTGGATGGCCTCACGTTTGCCCCATTGCCACAGCCCACTATTCTGAGAATCTATCATCTTTACACAGTAAACAGCATCTGGTTGAGAGGACCCCAGATTTCAGAGCTCCTAGGATAATTATCTCTACTCCCCAAGGCAGGAAGCCATGATCCAACTGTCTTAAGTGAACCCAGGGAGAGAACCAATCCTGCTGGGCCCCAGACCTGAGCTGCTTCCACAGCTTTGGCGGGAATGAAGATCCGAGGAAAGGCATACATGGCTCCCTGCAAGGGGTTGCAGTGAATTCCAGGAACTTGGTTAAACAGGTCTTCTGTCAGCTTCGCTTTTTTGGCCAGATTACCCAGGACAGACTCCTTTTCCTGAGGAGATACAGAGAAAGTGCAGGAGTCAGTGTCTCTGAGTGAGGAATGGCCCCAGTGTGGGAGGCTGTTCCTTCTGTTCCCGGGCAACTGCACAGATTGATAAAGATGAGCTTGAGTTTGCAAAAATGCTGCAGATCAAGGAGGTGGGTGGAACATGTCTCCCGCAGGGATTCTTTTTCGCCCCATGGGATTCTCAGTCCAAGAGACTGCCATGTGTACTGGGACACATGGGGGTTTCAGGCCACAGGGCAGATTTTGGAAGGTCTGCGTTCTGGATTCTATTCTTTATTTTTTATTCATATGTGCATACATTGTTTGGGCCATTTTTCCGCCCCGCCCTGATCCCTGCCCACACCTTCTCCCCCCTGCTCCCCTGGATTCTATTCTTGTACCAAGATGTCATTTGTGAACAGGAGAAAAAGCAGTCCCTGCCCATCAATTTGAATGGACTTGGTCCTGGGTAGAACCCTATAAATATTCCTAGGGTCATGAGTCCTCTGGAGATAGGTCCCACCACGCCATTTGCGGGTCTGCCCCTCCCCACTCTCAGTACATGTGGTGTGTGTGGAACACAAAGTTAGGCAAAACAAATCAGAGTTAGTGGCTGTTTCAGAGCTGGACATGTGTCCAAACATGGAGCATATCTGTCCAGGACTTCTGCAAATACCGTTGGGAAAGGGGGATGAAAAGATATGAGCCTGAAGATGAGGAAATAAACAAAATGTGGTATATTCACACAATGACATTCAACTCAGCTTTCAGTTCTGAAGGGACTTCCAACCTTCTGTGAAGGCCACCACATAGATGAAACTAGAGGACACTATGCCAAGTGAAATAAAACAGTCACAAAGGAACATTGTATGATTCCGTCTGTGTGAGGTATCTTTTTTTGTTCAGTACTGGGGTTTGAATTCGGGGCTTCGAGCTTGCTTCGTAGGTACTCTACCACTTGAGCCATTCCTCCAGCTCATCTGTAAGGTATCTAGAATAGGTAAATTGACACAGACAGAAAGAATATTGGTTGGGGCTGGGGGAATGAGAAGTTATTATTTAATAGGTATGAATTCCAGATAGGGATGATGGAAAGTTGTGGGTTTTTTTGGTGGTACTGGGGATTGAGCACTCTCTCACTTTAACCATGCCCCAACCCTTATTTTGTTTTTGAGATAGGGTATCACACTAACTTTACTTGGCTGGCCCTGAACTTTATCCTCCTGCCTCCTGCTTCCTGAGTAGCTGGGATTATATACATGCCCACAATACCAGTAAGGAAAAGTTTTTGTTGGACAGTGGTGTTGGATTTATAACAATATGAATGTCCTTAGGGTCACAGAACTATACATTTAAAAAATAGTAAATTTTTCATGTGTATTTTTCCAACTCTTTCTTTCTTTCTTTTTTTGTGGGACAGGAATTTGAACTCAGGGATTCATGCTTGCAAAACAGGTACTCTACTAGTTGAGCCATTCCTCCTGTCCATTTTGCTGTGGTTATTTTGGAGATGGGCTCTTGCAAACTTATTTACCCAGTTGGTCTTGAACTGCAGTCCCACTGATCTCAGTCTCCCAAGTACCTAGGTTTTACAGGTATGAGCCACTGGCACACAGTTTTCTTTTTCTTTTTCTTTTTTTTTGAGACAGGGTCCTGCTATGTCATCAGGTCTCAAACTCCTGGGCTGTAGAGATCAACCTGCCTCACCTTCACTTGGACTACAGACATGTACCACCACACACCCAGCTCTGTCCATTCCTTTTTTGATTCAGCTAGTTTAGAGGTGAATTGTTGTCAGGTATGACTGGATTTGTTGAGCTGTGAGGACGTCTGGTTAGAGCAGAGGCAAGTTCACTGCTTAGAATCAAGCTGTGCCTATCCACCTTCTCCTTCTTTGTAACTTCATAACAGAATCTTCCCAAAGCGTTATCAGGATACGGCCTTTCCCTCCAGATGCCTACACATCTGTGATGGTCACAGGTGAGGAAGAAGGGCCTATTCACTCACATGCAGTCACAATCCTCCCACTTCAAAACATACTCTGCTGGATCCTTGAACTTAAATTTGTTTCTTCTTTTTTTTTTTTTGCAGTGCTGGGGTTTCAACTCAGGGCCTCACACTTGCTAGGCAGGCACTCTACCACTTGAGTCACTCTGCTAGCCCTTGGACTTAATTTCCATCTAAAGGTGGTTCAGTTACCAAGAGCCACAATGGAGGGTGGACAGGGTGAGACAGACAAATGGATGGCCACCTGGAGACAAGCCAACCACTGGCCATGGTGGAAATTCAGCGGTGACCTTGGCAGTAGTAGTGATGTCACACCGGACTCACCCTGATGAACTGCTCAAAGGACTCCTCTCCTGGCACTGGGGGGTTCACGACGATGTCCATGGCAGCCTGTCCAGATACTGGTGGGCACAGACGCACTGAGAGCAGCTTCACCAGCTGGCCCTTGATCTCAGGGTGCAGGTTGATCACCTCCATATAGCCTCCTCTGTAGCCACACCTGGAGGGATGAGGAGAGGGTACATAACCACTAGTTACAGAAAGACCTCATGAAGTGCAATTCAGACAGCCAGATCTGTAACCATCCCTACCCCCGCCCCACATAGCTGAGTTCTTGCCAACAGAAGGTGAATAGAAGTGATAGGTACAAATTTACCTCTTGTAGGAAAATCATGTACTCTCCTTCCTCTTTTCCTTTCCCCACTACCTAAGAGATGGAGACAGTGGAGTAGCAGCTCACCAGGCTAGAGATGGACATCACATGTTGAGAAGGCAAAGCCATCAGTCTCAGTCCTCAACTGATTTCATGGAGCACAGCGTACCCTGTCTTCCTACTAACTCTGGACCATCATGTCAAAGACAGATACACTTTTCATCTTACTTGAGCTACTGTATTTTGGGACTGTTTTATAGCAACTTTGCATGAAACCTAACTTATATACTAGCCCCTGCCCAAAAGACATACACAGAACTCATTCCTGGCATCCCACTGCACAGGCGTCAGGGCTAAGTATAGATTCACTGCGGACTTTTTCTTTTTTGCCTGAAAACAAAACCAACTCAAAGGAGAGTGGAACTGATGAAGAAAATAAGACAAAGCAGAGATCCTATTGACATCTTTTGTTCATTCATTTTTTGGTGCTGCAGATTGGATCAGAGCCTCCAGCAATGCTAAACATGTACTCTATCATTGAGCTACAGCCCCCAGTCACTGACATTGTTAAGCCCCCTGATTCAACTCTACCTCTGCACTAATTACCAGTATAGGATTTTTTTTTTAATGCCTCTTTCATATAAGCCAGTTCAAGTTGAGTACTGTAACTTATAACAAAAGACTTCTGACTGATACAGAATCAAGTTATATGAAAATAAGCTGAGATCATACAATGAATTAAAAAAAAAACTTTTTCAATCAAATCAGCAACATCAGTTATGTTTTCTGGAGCTGTGCTGCCTTCTCTGTTCTGTGACTGTCAACATTCGGACTAACATACAGAAACCCAGGCTCCTGATTCAGGGACCTGGTCACTATCCTCTGGACACCCCACCCTCAACTTCACAGCAACTAACACGATGAGATGCTCAATAAAACACTTTTAGGATAATGCAGCTGAACTCAACTGGCAAAGGTAGATTCCCATCTGATCCCTGGACTGGACTTTCCAAGACAGGAAGATAAATTGGAAATGTTTCCCATGACAAAGTTGTAAGAATGAACTTTCTGTTTAATCTTTTGCTGATGAGCAGAAAACCAAATTGTGCAACGCAGTCTCATCCTGGGTAATCAGGATCTGAGAAAAATGGGGCATAACTCAGGAAACCGATATCTAGGGGACTGATGGAGAGTTGGATAGGTATGTGCTTGATAAATGAAAGAGAACAGATTTCATTTAAGAAAACAGCTATATGGCTTGCAGAGCAGCTCAAGTGGTAGAGCACCTGCCTAGCAAGTGTGAGGCCCTGAGTTCAAACTCCAGTTCCACCAAAAGAGAGAGAGAGAGAGAGAGAGAGAGAGAGAGAGAGAGAGAGAGAGAGAGAAGAACCACACAGCACACAAGAGTCTAGCATGGAGCCTGTAATGCTGCCCAGAAAGACCACCACAAATTAACCCCTGTCCAAATCAAACAAAGGTAAGAACAGTCAGGCAACTATTCCAAGGGGACAGCTCCCTGACCTGCCCAAAATACTTCTTCAGACTTCACAGTTAAAACAAGCACCTTCCCCATGTTGACAACTGATACCCAAGAGAACTCCTATCACGGGGAATGATGCCCTTTATGGACTTTCCTTCTCAAGTCTCTGTTGTGGCTTCCTCCTCTTCTCCTGATCTCTAAGCAGGGGGGTCGCAGGCCTGTCTTGGCTCTTCTTCTCTGCACTTACTCCTCTTCACTGCACTCACTCCTCTTCACTGCACTCACTCCATGTGAGATGTCCAGGCTTACAGGTTCAACAATCTTGCAACCCAGAGACTGATATTTCCCAAATTAAAATCTCTACCTGGTTATCAGTCTTGATCTCCACACTCACATATCCATCTCTACCTGGACACCAATAGGCATTTGCAAGCATAACATGCCCAAAACAAACTCTGGGTCTCTCTCCCCAGACCTTCCTCATCTGTTGCTGGCAACTCCATCCTTCCTGATGTGTGAACAGAAAACTTGGAATTCATTCTTGACTCCTCTCTCACCCATTTTTTTTTTTTTTAAATCTCATCAGCAACTGCTCTCAACTTTACTTTCAAATATATTCTGTATCCTCTCCCCATCTCTACCCTGGTCCATGATATCTCATCTGGGGAACATAACAGCCTCCTGACTTGAGTCCCTGTCTTTACCCTATTCTCCACCAGAGCAACTAGGAGTCTAGTATATAACACAGGTCAGGTAAGGTCAAACCTCTTCTCTGATCCTTGTTTTCCATCTGCCACATGACTTTACTCTTTGTCTTTCGCTTCTCTCCTCCCTAGCACATCTGCTCTGTGAGGACAGGAGTGCTGTAGTGTGTTCAACTGCTGTGTCCTCAGCACTGACATCAGTACTGAAGTCAGAACAAATATTAGTCGAATGAACAAATACAGCACTGAGGCTGACTCTCTGACCCCTGAGGTCATTCAGCACTAAGGCAGCCTTGCACACAAAGGTTGGCTTATCAACCTAATGGCATTTGTTTGTCTACTCAACCTGCCCACCATGACCCCAGATTTTAACCAATGTCAGAGCAACAGTGATAGGTGGCAGAACATTCTAGGTGTTGGAAGTAGCTGTGGGAACCTGTTTTAATTTCCATCATTTATCCATAGTCTGCTTTCTTTTAACCATGGCCTTATTTCAGTTGAGACCCTGTACAAGGGCAGTTCTCACACCTCTTAGATTAACAGAAGCAATGGATAAGAGCTGGCTTCTCTACCCAAGTCGGTGGACACAGGGCAGAGCAGAGGATCAGGCAGAGAGGAAACAGTAGCACTGGTACCAGGGAGGTGAGGAGCAGTGGGAGATGGAGGTCAACATACTCGCCCATGTAGCCCTTGGAGGTGGAATGGAAGGAGGCAAGCTCAACGTTGCTGGAATACTCGGGCCCCATCTCATAAAGCACCTTCTTAAAGGAGTGGAATCTGCAGTCAGGAGAATACACGTTGTCCTGGTATACCTGCAGGCAAAGATGCAACAGGGACATCACTGCAAGTCCTTCAGAGAGGCCTGAGACCATGAAGGTTGCTCAGGGTGCAGAGCCTGAGGAGAGGCACAGATAATCTGGGCTAACCTGGTTGTGAATCATGAGGCCTAGTCCTAAATAGTCCAGCCAGCCCAACCTCCAATGCCACATCCAAGGATCACCCAGAATATGACTGATGGAACATTCCAGAATAAGCAAGGAGGGAGGAAAGGCCTTAGACTGGATGTTGAGCTTGATAACTCAGGAGCTCACCTGACTTCTCCCACATTCATCCCCAGTCTCCAGACTACTTTTCTACCTTGGCAGATCAGTACTGATACTAAGGACTCCTGATTTCCTAAGCAAATTTCCTTCCTAAAGCAGTGTTCACTTATTTCAATAACACAGTGACAACAGTTAATATACCTGTTCTCTGAACTCCCTACTTAAGGAGTTAACCTTGTTGGGCTTCCTGTGACACCCAGTTTGGAATTATTTTGTCCTTTTCTCCACTTTTCACTGCTAGAGCAGAATCAACACCTGCTTTGTTCTCCCCTGTTCCCAGATCTAGTACTCATAGCCCACCAGCACACTCTACCCTTTGTGATTAACATTCCAAACCCATTTTGGAGATCAAGGAAATAAAGGCTTCCTGGAGCCCCGAGGGTCAGTGGACTCCATCTTCAACCAGACTCAGAGGGGAGGTTAGTGTAACAGATCACAAGGAAAACCACAGGCCTCTCTGCTACCCCTTCCCTCTTTTAGAAATAAAGATTTTAGGTCCAGCTACAATTAATTACAGCAACTTTTGTGGGTATGCTGTATGTATATGTGGGAGTGGTTGGGGATGCTAAGGAACAAAGGAATGAAGATAGGATGCTGGAAGTTACACCTCATCAGAAACCATGCAGAAATAAAGAGGAAATGAAAATTTAATTGGATGGATCCTCAATTCTTCCTTGCAATGTAGGCAGAAGAAGAATGGGCGGGTCTCAGATTCAGAACTGGAGTTCAGGAAGCAGCAGTTATGGAATTAAGATCCTTTCCTCATAGGCTGGAGAATTAAATGAGAAGAAAATCACAGAAGTACTAGAAAACACAGAACTGCAGCTTTATGAGGAGTGGGCACCTGTCACTTCTGCCAGACAGGCACTTCCTTCCTAGGTTAAGACTCTTGATTTACCCTCAGGTTAGGACCCTCCCTTATTTCCTATTTGGAGGTTGGGGGAGGACAGGGCAGAGATACCATGCCTTGCTCTGGAAGTGTTCAATTTGTATATTGCAACCCCTAGATCAAAGTGATTGGTTCAGCAATTAGGCTATGACCCAAGCTGAACCAATGAGGTACAACTCTGAGACTTTTGCTAGAACTACCAGGATAAAAATCCCATTTTCTAGTCTGGAAAGACAACAGGCCTGTGTATGGGACTAACAGAGAGAAATGAAAGGAAAATCTGGAAGAAATGGTTGGAGTTCCTGAATCTAGCCACACTCCTGTGACTCTACCATCTCTCTTTTTTTCTTGAAGTTTAAAGTAATTTGTGTTTAATTTCTGAAATTTACAACTACAGTTCAAACTAATATAGGTCAGACTCATAGGTTCTATGAAATGAACATCCTCACCCTTCAGCCAGAGTCAAACACTTAGAAAGTTCTCTTTGGCTGCAGAGCAACAAACATGGATCCTTCCCCTAGAAGACAATGCTTACCCCTCATTGCTCTCAGGGAAAACTGGGATTACTCTTACCTCGTCAGCCAGAAGAAAGAGCTTCTCTTCCCAGGCAAAGTGAATCACATCTTCTATGCACTTTCTGCTTTGTACCTGGCCTATAAAATTCCCAAGAAAACCAAAATGTAGGTCGTAATGGTGTTCAAATTGTATCCAGCTCAGAATCCCACCCAGAATCACTCGGTGTCCTGTGTTTCCTCACCAAGAGACCATGCTTCTAATTGGTATGTATGATGGTATAGTCAACCTCCAGGGACACCCAGAGGGTTGGGTCTATCTGTCTAACTCACTGAAGCTGGGTATGTGGAGGAAGTAGCATTTTATACCTAACTTTCTTATGAGTACAGTGTGTGCGCACACATGCGCAATATTTTGTGTGGAAGTTATGGAAATGCCATAAAAAGCAGGAAAATAAAATTGAAGGACTTAAACTCATCAGCTCATTCCCCATATTATATACAAGCAGCAAGTGATGGGAAGAATAACACTGGCTGATATGGTAACTGGATGAGAGTTACTGGAGAAAAATTACATTGTTTTGTTTTTGTTCCTCAATTTCTGCAAATACCTTCTTCCCAAGGAGGCACACACAAGCTCCATGAGGCAGGGACAGGATCTATCCCAGCACACCATCTATGCTTAGAGCTGAGACTCAGCAGGTGGTCAATGAATATTTGCAGAACAAATGCTAAGTAAATGAATCTGGGCACCAGCATTGATGGTTCCTGTGACTGCTACTGGAGGGAGAGCTGGCATTGCCAAAAACCACAGTGAGATAGGCACACTGCAGTTCTCCTTGGCTCAGGCTCCCCTCCTTCAGCTCTTAACACTAGCAGGGAAGACACCCACCATCCCTTTGAGAGCATGAGTACAAACAGTAAGACAAGAACCCAGCAGCTCATAGGACATGCCATAGGTATAGGAGAGGAAAGGAACAAAGGCAAGAAAGTGGGAATGGGACCTTCTCCAGGATTTTCTGAGACCTGCTTTGAGTGGCACTAGAATGGCTGATGTACTCACAATATCACAATGGAAAAGCATCATTACCATCAGGCTTTAAAAAAAAAGGACTTGTTTATTACCTAGATGTATACTGTATCTATATGTATTACATATATCTAAGTGTGTACATCTGTCAATACATATGCACATATTATTTGTGTATACATTATACCTTAATGAGGAGCAGTATGTAGAATATATTACCTTTTTGTTGAAAATAAAAATGCCTATATTCTTATCTATGAGAAAATATAAAAAATGGGAAAAAGTATACACGTAACTTGTAAGAGCATGGTATCATTCGCCAGTATTTCTGACTTGAACTATCTAAGCAGCAAACTAATTTCTTTATTATGGGATTGACTTTTTTTCTTGATAATCAAGTGCCAGCTGGGCATCCTGTAGCAAGCTCAGAACTCTGGGACTCCAGGGAGGGTGGCAGGCCTGGTTTCTATAGGGAACCAGTTACTGTTCTTACATACAGTGGGGGCAAAACCTGCCTGCAAACTGTCCTGGTCTTGCCTCCCTCAGGCCTATGATCTCATAATTATATCCTGTTAGTATACAAGCACCAGAATATGCAAACATATGTTCACTAAATGCTAAGGGGAACACAAACAGAAGGACCAGAGCCTCAAAAAGCCCTCCATTTAGGCCAGGTGTGGTAGTGCATGCGGGAAATGTCGGCACTTGAGAGGCTGAGGCAGAAGTATTTTGAGTTTGAGGCCAGCCTAGGCTACAGAGTGAGACCCTATCTCAAAAAAAAAAAAAAAAAAAAGAAAAAGAAAAAGCCTTCAGCCTAGTAGAGGAAATGAAATCCAATGGATGCAAACAGCCTCACTTATACACAAGATGCAAAGTTAGGGATTGGGGCAGAGCTTATGTCTCCCAAGGGCCTGGACACAGCAGTCTAGAATATGCCCACCAAGTCAATGAAGGAACAAATACATGAACAGTGAAGGGAAAGTCATACATAGCTTTAGAAGAATCAGGGTACAACTGTGCCCAGCCAGGGGAGACATGGCTTTGGTGACAGGTGCCAAAGGAACTCCCCAGGAACTGGAGGAAATACACATTGTTTATGCCTGCTGAACATCCTTGCTTCTGCGAGTAACAGAGCAGAACTGTCCTATGGAGACCTCCAGCAGGGGGCATGGGGCACAGAACCATGATTTGACTAGTTTAGATCTGGGTACAAACTGGGCCAGTAAGCATCTGGCCTGGGACTTTTCTTGCATTGTGAAACCATGGGAGAAGCTCTCCTCTAAGGCTACTCAGCTAATAAAGGCCACTCTAGGGACAGTTTCTTCCTGAGAAGGAGAGGAGAGCTGAGAAATGGACTGAGGTTCTCCTGATAATGATGCTGGCTTAGGTGAACTGCTTTACCTCTTGACTTCACAATTCCACCATCCCCTTAGTCTTCTTTTTTTTTGGCAGTACTGGGGCTTGAACTCAAGGCCTCATGCTTGCTAGAGCCACTCTGCCAGCCTTTCAGCTGAAAGTCACAATGTGGTTTGGACAAGGCATGTGGTCATCCCAGAGGTATTCTAGCTCCCACAGCCCCTCTTCTAAATAGCTGACTCATTTTTACACATTAAGGCACCAGAACACAAAATGAGATTCTGCCCATTCATAGAAAGTTACCATCTATAAAAATTATTTACATTAATATACATTCACATCACCCCCTTTATTTAAAATAGGAAAGTCTCTGGTGCAGTGATTTCTTCCCAAGGTGAAAAGACTTATGTAAACACTTGGCCAAGAAAGTACTGACTCAAATGTAGACTAGGTATATAGTAAGATGTTATAGGACTTGTTATTTCAAGTGTGATCCTAGGACCAGCTGAAGTATCACCTAGGAACTGGTTAGAAATGCAAATTCTCAAGCCCTACAGTCCAGTTACATCAAAATATGAGGGAACAGTGTCCAAAATCTGTATTTTAACAAGCTTAAGTTTGAGAACCACTGTTCTAAGGAAGTGGTTTTCATTAGCTTTCATTAGTGGTTTCATTAGCTAGGAACATTGACGCCTAGACCTCATTTCCAGGGTGTCTGGGGTGTGGCCCAGCCTTTGAAATTTTTTCAAAGCTCCCTTTGTGATTCTGACACATAGCCCAGTTTGGGAGACCAGTTTTGTCTCATTTCTCCATTCCACCCCTCCCCCCAAGGCACTGGGGAAAATAAGCCAGTGTCACTACCAGCTGCACTCAGGAATTTAAGTGGTGCTTTCAGCTGAATGAAGCATCATTTGATGTTCCAGAGAAGCAGATTCTACAATCAACTCCAACTCATTTTGGCCCAGACCCAATTTATCTCAACAAAGAAGGAGACAGGCGGCCTTGTTCTCTGCATCCAAACAGCACTGGAGGCATATGAAGCCAGCAGCCCAGAAAGAACAAAATAGTTAGGACTGTGCACTTTTTTAAAAGGAAAATATGCAAAATTGGGAACGCTTTTAACTTCTAGAAATAGGCCTTTTGGTTTATTTGCTTTTATTTTGAATACGGCATTTGCTTCTCAGGTCTCAGGGTACACAGCAATGCTGTGTCAAACAGAAACAAAACTGCACACACCAGCATTCGGAAAACTGTTTCAAAAAACAAGTGGGAATAAAGGTAAAATGAGACCTAGGGTTACTGGTGAGTTTGTGCATGAAGAATCTCAAGAAGATGAGTCTTTGGGAATGGAAGGATAACAGAAAGGAAAAAAGAAAAAAACAAAATAAAAAACCTGCTAGAAGCCAGGAGGCAGCAGTTCCAGGCCAAACCCTACAGTCAGTGAGACCCCATCTCCAATTAATCAGAGCAAAATGGACTGGAGGTGTGGCTCAACTGGTACAGCACATTCATTGCAAGTGTGAATCCCTGAGTTCAAACCACAGTCCCACAAAAACAAAAAAACAGTTCTTGAAAAGATTTTTTTTTTTTTTTGGTGGTACTGCTAGACAGGCATTCTACCATTTGAGTCACTCTGCCAGACAAACTGGTCTTAATAACAACACAGCCCTCCCCACTCAAGAAAATGCCTGCATTTGCTTACTTCCTGAGGAGGTGAGGCAGATTTTATTGCTTTATGTTAGCAAATCTGTAATTGGATTGGAAAACCAGGAGTTGGGAGGATCTCACATGATTTCTTAATTCTTTAGTGTCCAAACATCCAGAACACCAGCCATCCCCACTCCCTAGGAAAGTGGCAAGGGAGTTAAATGCAGACCTGTAGGGTTCCCAGGGTTGATGATGCAGAGCACCTTGGGGTCACAGTTGTCTTTGGCCTCCCGCACTGCCCGCCGGAGCTCATTCACATTCAGGGCCCAGCAGTTCTCCTCATCCAGGTAGTAATTCACCTGGATGGCGTCCAGCTCAGAGATGACCGCTGAGTAGAGGGGATATTGTGGGATGGGAATCAACACACCCGTCCGTGACTTGCCGCCCCCGGAGACAAGGATCTTCAGAATTGTCTGTAAGCAAGAAATCACTGCTAGAGGTCCCCACCTCTCCCTACCCCCTTCAGGAGCTGATGAACACACAATCCCTACTCCCAGCAGCCACTACCCGCTTCCAGTATAACCCCTGGCAAGTTGCTTCATGTCCCCGAGTCTCAGTTTCCTAATCTATAACACAAGGGCTGCTGCAAGCAGTAAGCAAAACAGAATGTTTTAAGGTTCTTGGCACCGTGTATATAGCATGTAGTTGAAGACTCAATACGGCCTTGTTAGCATTTTTAATATTTTCAAACAGTAGTCCCCAAACTGACACTGTCTCAGAATTAGTCTAACTCCAGCCTGAAACCCTGATTTAGATTCTGTCTTATCAATAAGCATCAGTTGCCATGGCTGTACAGACCCCTATACAGGGAATGGATGAAATGGGATAAAAATACCCATCCACTGCCACCAGATGGCACTTCAACCTGTTTTCAAAACTGAGCAGGGCACATGTTTTGTAGGATTCCTGAGAAACCAGGCCATGACAATCAATGGGGTGTTGGTGGAGGTGTCAATAATTCACGGAATAAGTTAAACCCTTTTCAGGGAGAGTCTCCACCTTACACATGGGCATATGTACTGTCTCAGGTTCAGTTCCTTGCTGCAAGAACGTCTCTATGTTGGAAGTGCAATGACTCAATTCTGTTCACTGAATCTTGTGGACACCTCCCTATCCTTTTCCTGGCCCAATACTCTGTTTCTCAGGAGATGGAAAGGGTGGTCTTGACAGCAGAAGAAATAGAAGATGGCTGTGTTTTAGGGCTGGAGTGCCAAAAAGACATTTGAAAATCCCAAATATCAAAAGAATGCACTCAAAGCAGGCCAACCACTTACTTATTATCTCTGGGCCTGTTTCTTGATAGCTCCAATAAGAGCTGGGAAAAGAAGTACTCAACATCAAAAACAAGAGCTTCTAAGGTCAAGAGGCAAAGGTAGCCCCAATAACAAAGAAAAGGCCAGATAGCACACCACTCCCTGAATAGGGAGAATAAAAGGGCTAAGCCCTGGAGGAGCATGCCAAAAATGAATGGAGGACCAGGGGAGAAGAAGTGGCTTGGATGGGGGGTTAGCCATGGATTGGGGACTGGGGGACTGGTTGCATCGAGAGATCTGTGGTTGCCTTCTTTTTTTTTCTTTAGTGATGGAGATGGAACCCAGGGCCTCTATATGCTAGGTAGAGCAGTTACCTTTTCTCTCACCTCCTAAACAGCTCCCTCACATATACTAGGTTCTTCTTGGAAAGGTCAAAGTTTAAGCTTAAGAATACTGAGTCATGTGCCCTTCCTACTTCACCCCTTTCAATGGCTCCCTATAGTTCTTAGGACAATGACTAAATCCTGAGTAATGGCTTTTAAGGGCTTCAGGGTTCAGTCATTATCTTCTTCCCAGCTCTGTTTTTGGTACTCCCCTTCACTGTGTGCTCATTTACCTTGGCTCTCCATTTCCAAATGCTAAGCTCCTGAGGTCTCAAGGCCTCTGTACACATTGACCTTTGGCTCAGAACGCACTCCCTCTTCCACCCTCTCCAGTTTACCATGTATTCTTCAGCCTTGCTCAGAAAATCCTTCCTGACCCTATCTGAGCAGGCCAGAGTCCCTGTTGCCCCCTACTATTGCACTTTGTACTTTTCTTCTATAGAAGAGAAACTGAAAACTTGTGATGCAACTTTTATTTATATGGTATCAATACTGGTCTGCCCAGCACTAGTGCATAGGCAGAGGCCAAAGGATGTGTTTAATTGCTCAAAGTGTCTTAGCAGAGAAGGAAGGTCAGTATATGCTGAGTAACAGAAAGGCCAATGTGTCCCACAGCTCCTCTCCAGCTGGACTCCTGGATTCTAGAAGGAAACCAAGGCTCCAGTGGTATCCAGGCTCATGAGGAGTATAAGCTACAAGGACAGGGAGACCATGGGTGGCCCACCCTCCCCACTAACCCCATATCCCCGATAGCCAGCACAAACACTTGGCCCTCATATGCAAGGGTGTGAGTCATGTGCGTGAAAACTGGGTAAGAATGGGCCACCCACACACATACAGAAATGCCATCACTAGCTCCAGTGGTCAGATAAATGTTGTCTGGGTCTGCAGGCACACCACCATCTCTCCTGGTGATATAGGCTGCCACATCTTCACGGATGCAGTTGACACCCTGGCTAGCACTGTAAGACCCTGTAAGACAGCAAGAGAACAACTAGAGACAAGATGTCTGGCTTCACAGAATCAGGGTGACAGCCACATAATTAACTGGGGGGAAGGAGAACAGCAGGGTGTCTAAAGCGGGGCTCAAGGCTCTGGAATTATGGCAAGCTGCTTAACCATTTATCTGGGCTTCATTCACACATTCACATATCCTTTCATCCATCCAGCCAGCCACTCACTATTACTGAACACCTACCAGGTTAAGCATCAGTTAAGCATTATTCCAGGCCCTGGTTTCTAATGAGTCAAATGGTGCTCATATCTGGAATTTATACATGTTCAGCAGAAGCCATTAGATATCGGGATTCTATGCTTTTATTACAGTTACTACACATAGTTCTACATAATTGAGAGAGCTGGGTCAACACTTGTGCTCCAACAGTCTAGAGTCCTGACCAACATCAACTGCAGATCCCCGGGGCTGCTAGTCATGCTCCCCCACCCCACAACCCTACCCTATGTCAAGAATATCTTTAGGCTGCCATTTAGGATTAAGGTCAGGCCACTGTTTACATGACACTTAAAACAGGAAAAATGCTAGTACCAGTGGCTCATGCCTGTTATCCTAGCTACTTGAGAAGCTCAGATAGGGAGAATTATGGTTCAAGGACAACCTGGGTTAAAAGTTTGCAAGACCCCGATCTCAACCAATAGCTGGAGCTATGGTGGGAAGCATAAAATAGGAGAATGCAGTCCAGGTCAGTCAGGGCAAAAAGCAAGACCCTCTCTCAAAAATACCAGAGAAAAAAGGGCTGGAGGTGTGGCTTAAGTGGTAGAACACCTGCTTAATAAGCATGAAGCTCTTGAGTTCAAACCCCAGTGTCACCAGAAAAAAAAAAAAAGGCAAAACCGGTCAATGGTGTGGAAAGTAAGAACAGCAGGAAAGACTCTAGGATAGAGTATTCTGACTGGGAAGGAGTACAAAGGAGCCTTCTGGGGTGCTTCACTGGGGTTCTATATAGGTATGTGTACGTAACTAGAAGTGGTTCAAGCTACACATTAATAATTGTATGTGTGTTGTGGTTTTCTTTCTTCTGTTTTTCTTTGTATATGTTTTAATTCCATAAAAGTGTTTTTTTGTGTGTGGTACTTGGGATGAAACCCAGGGCCTCACACGTTAGGCAAGCACTCACCACTGAGCAACATCCCCAGCCCTCAAATTTTTTAAAAATGTCAAGCCACTATGTGTTTTTGTTTCCTTACAAACTAGGACTTTGCACATGCTAGGTAAGCACTCTATCACTGAGCTACATTCCCAGCCCTTGCCACTGTTTTTAAAATAAGTTGGAAGTTGGTAAGATCCCTCTGGAAGACTCAAACTGGTGAGAATTCTCTGAGTACACCAGGTTGCTGGGAGGAAAAACAGGTTTTTCATTGCATGTGTACTCACATACACACTGACTATATATATTTATTGTATATGAATATTGTATATTCATTATATATGTATACAATACCTTTTGAATGTCATACCATATTTAAAGAAAATCAGTCTACCATATAACTTTGTATGACTACAGCAAAACCACTACCAGGAGACAGGATGAGGCTCTAGGAAGACAAAGACTCTTCTCTGGAACCTCCACACCTATTAGTTCAGGTCTGGAACCCAGGAAAAACAGTTAAACGCTCTGAAATGAAGAAGCGCCTGCTCTGGTTCTGCCTCAGCCTCTCTACATAGCACTGACTGGGCTCACCCCATCTTCTCCTTTCCCTCCCACCAGTTGTAAAATGAGGGGCTGGACCAATACTCTGAGATGCCAAGTAGCAAACATTAACATGTATCAGCACTTTTGTTACACTATCTTTGGTATTCTAATAAACTTGAAGTTTTTCATAGACTAAAAGGAGAGTACCTGTGTGGAAATGCTGTTGTTAGAGAACCCTTTCCCTAGTAGGTAATTTGTTTGATATTTCTGAGTTTCCAAAACCTTCCAGGACTCCCTGTTTCCCTCTGTCCTTATTTTTCCAGCACTGGAGTTTGAACTCATGGTCTCACACTTGCTAGGCAGGTGCTCTTACTGCTTTAGTCACTGTCAGCCCTCCCTCTGCCTTCTTTCAATGCTCCCTCCCCTAAACACCCTCAAGCTATAGGGTCTGGACATCCCATTCCACCCAGGGTTTCTCTTCTTTCTCTCTCCAAGTCCTGCTGCCTCCTTGGATTCCCTGTAAGTTCTTACATTTTCCCAAGGAGGCTCCTAGGCTTCTTTCTGTCTTTTGATATTCTGTTGTGCTCCAACCAACATTGCCCTTCAAGGTTCATTTCTAATGTGTCTTCAGAGAGACTTCCCTGAGGATTCTGCCCCACTCCCAACTTCTCTCCTGAACTGGAAGTTCTCCAATTATTTTATACAGAAGCCTGGCTTTCCCACATTGACGGTAAGTTCCTTGAGGGCTGAGAATTTCTTCTATGCATTGTTTTATTTTTGGCAGTACTGGGGTTTGAACTCATAGAACCTCACACTTGTTAGGCAGGCACGCTACCACTTTTTTGTGTTAGGCATTTTTTGAGTATTACTTGCCCAGGCTGGCAATGAACCATGATCCTCCTGATCTCTGCCTCCTGAGTAGCTAGGATTACAGGTGTGAGCCACTGGATCCCAGCTCCTCTATGCATCTTTGGCACAACCTAGCCCACTGCTGGCTGGGCCCTATCCCTTTTATATCTCTGCTTAGGACTCACTTCCTTGAGTGACCATCAAACTATTTTCCTTCGCAGTCTACAAATGAGTACCATCACCACTGACAAAGTCCCCAGCTTCACCGGGTGAGCATCGCTTCACCCAGTCCCCTTCACTGGGTCACTCTTCCCAAAGCTCATGGATTTTGTACATGCTGCTCCTGCTGTCTGGTGTGCATCTGCAGGTTCTCTCTTACTTATCCTCCACATGAGACAGAATGTCACTTTCTCCTTTTAAGTCTTCCCTCCACATTAACATACATCGATATAGTCCTATAGCTTTCTACTCTTTCTCAAATAAGTCAAAAAAGCTGGGAATGACATACTGATATGAATTATTTTTAATACTAATTTCTTCCAAAGCTTCATGAGCACAGCAACTCCATCTTCCTCGTTCACCAGTGTCCTTCAGTGTTTGGAAGAGGGCCTGGTACATGGTGTGTGCTCAGGGAGGGGCTGGATAAGGACACACAGGTTCCACCTCCCCCAGGTAGTGTGCTAGGTTTTTACTTCAGTCCTATTTAATATCCAGGACATAACCTGAGGACTGAATTACTTGTCAAATTGACTATAAATGAAGTCCTAGTAAGAAATAATTTTAAAGGGCATGAGAACATGTCCTGGGTGAATTTTAAGACTCCATGTACATATTCAATAATTACACTTGGATCAGGGTTGTCCTGGAGCACAGTAACATGTCCCATATCCTTTTACTTCCATGGCAGGAAAGGACACAGGCTATCCAAGACTTAGTTGACAAACTACACCCCCTCCACATTCCTGTCATGGGAAGGGTCACACTGCCTGCCTCTTTGCACTGAGCAAGGCCTGCTTGTGCCCCTTCAAAGGTATGGCTTTTCCACACCTAACTTGGGGTGATAGCACATGTCAACCCTCCATGCAAGCCCAGGTGCAGGGAAAAGCCCTTCTAGTTTAAGGATGAGGAGGGAGGCTCAACACATACCTCCCTTGCCTGTATTCACCAGCTTCTGGGACTCAGTGCTGGTCACAGTAACACTCCTTGGGTACTTCATGGACTCAACCTACCAATCCACTCCCTTGGCTCTGGCTGACACATGTGCAATAACCTGTTTAAACTTAGTACAGTGGAACAAAGATCCTTTCCACTTTCCCTCCCCCTCCCATTCACATCAGACATACCTAAGACAAACCTCCCTTCTCTGCCTCTCCAGTGGGACTCCCAGGAGTCTCAGGACTGTAGGGTCTTTGAGAAGCACCTTTGTCCTCTGGGCTGGGCATAGGGTACTAGAGGAAGAGGATCCCGGTGGACACGTTTCTGGACTATTGGGTTGTTTTCTGCCAGTCTATGGTTTAGGCCTTAGCACACAAGGCCCTGACCCATACCCCATAAAACTGGCAGGCAGGGAGGCAACGAGCACTGGTCCTTCCTGAGAGATACTAGTAGGGCAGTGCCCAGACCCAGAGAGAAGGCTAGAGAGGTGACCATAGCTGGGAAGGTAAGCATGGAGCCCTGGATAAAGGCATAGAGCAGAGAAGGGTGGAGGGAGACACGAGGAGAGACCAAGACTGAGGGGTGGGGGGGAATCCACAAAAATCCCTATCTCACTCCTGGTTTCATGTTTCAGAACATTAGGGCACAAGTCCTAAGAAAGTTTTAAGATAATCTAGTTTACTCAAGGCAAGGGAAACCAGATTCCCTGTGTAAGTGCTATAATAAGAAATGGGGCAAAAATGAACACAAGAAAAAATGAGACGAGAACAAAGAGTCAGAGGCCCAGGGGCTGGAAATCCATCTCAGCAGGAGAGAGAAAGAATATATCATTTTCACATCCACAGGAACCAAACTGCAGACCTCCTCTGTGGAGCCCTCTGGTGCCTGGTGCTGTCAGGAGCCAGATGCTGGCGTGGGCTCTCCAAAAAGGCCAGGATGATAACAGCACAATGACATGAGAGGAGTAAGGGGCACATCAGACTGAAGGAAGCCACAAAAAGGAGGTCAGAGGGATCGTAGACTCCTCCTTGCCCCAGCAAGTAGCAGCCACCACAGTTGGGGGCCACAGATAGGCAGGAAAGGGAAGCAAAGTTAATCACTGCACTTGCACTCAGCCTTCCAATGCTGAGGCCAAGCACTTGGCTAAACCTCTTGCCCAGCTGTAAAGCTCAAATCCAGCAAAACACAGGCACCTGCTCCTAATGGGCCCAATCCAGCAAAAGATGGCATTTACACCAACTTAGTAAACAAGAACTAACAGCACCATGAGAAGAGTGCTTATCTATACACTCTCTGAATGTCAGCCACCCCACACACATTTACATGCTCACTCAAATGCACAGCACTTCATTCAGGGATGGACCAGACCCACCCTGGACACCCAAATCCATGTCACAGCCTTGGGGATGCAGCAAGTTGGAGTCTTACCCAGGCTGTTCCCGCCACAAGCCTGTAGGATCCTCTGAGCTCGTTTCTTAGCATCTTCTGGGAAGCCAGGGCTGTCCAGAAGGTTTGGGTAGGTACAGAGTGCCATTACCTAGGGGAGCAGGTGCAGGATGAGCTCCCTACACCCCAACCCCAGAGCCCCAGGTGCACAAAGGACACTGCACAATGGATAGTGCAACTGTGATAACTCCAAGGGCAGTGCCTCTCCATGAGGTCCGGGTCCACAGAATAGGTAAGGAAGAGGATATGGGGCTCTGCAGAAAAGGAGCAATGCCAAGAGCCAGGGTGTATCATGACCTGGGCCTGGGGGTTCAACTGAAACAGGCTAACATGGCTGCCTTTTGTTTGCCCTAACACTCCAGTAATGAGCTGTCAGCAGAGGAGCTAAGAAGACAGTGAGGCTGCCACAAAGTCCCTAGCCTCAATTTGCCCATAAAGGACGGTGGGAGGAGGGACAGATTAAAAAAAAAAAAAAGCCAGGGGGCTCAGACACCCAAGATCACAAGAACCAGATATCTCCCAAGAAGATGTCAGGATTAGGTGGGTAGTGACCTAGTTGACAGAAGCAGGGCTGCAAGACCCCTGAAACCCACAGCCTAAGCCTCTTCCACCCTGGCCCCTTCTCTGGATACACCTAAACTTCAGGACAGCTTTCTCATCTCTGTGACAGAAAATCCCCCTAACCTCACAAATTAGGAGGATTAAACAAGGACATGTGTGCCAAGGTGCGGGTTAGGCCTGGCTCACCTGGCAAGTCTAAGCTGCCAGCAGCTAAGCAGCTGAGCAGCTGAGCCAGGTGCACCAAGGAGGGGATCTGGGGACAGTGTTCCTGGGCACACAGCTCTTAAAACCAGCCAGGTGACTTCCAGTCTTTTCCAGTGTACACTGAGCACCAGCCTGGCCTCGCCTCCTCCTAAGGACATTTATGAAGATCAAAGGAGACTTGTGAAGGAAGGCTTGAGGCAGCCAGCATCCTGAAGGAAAGGTTAAGTCTGCTATGGCCTCGGGGCAGGGCTGGATTTGACAGAGAGTAAAGGTTAAGCAGTTCTGGAGTCTGTTTTACAACCTGTAGAACTTCTGCTAACAGGCTAAGCCAGGGCTTTCACAATGAGGGGCCCTTTGCCTTCCCCCTGCCTCCTTTTTCTGACAGGGCCACTGTCTGATCTTCTTCTCCTTCTGCATTAGGTCTGATCCATTTCCCCATCCTGGGCCCTGAGTGCGGACACTGATATCCATGGGTATGCACTGAATGTCAGCAGCCATGGCCACAGTACATTCCTCAGTCCAGTGTCAGCCTTGGGTGTTCTCCCGCATGACTGTGTCAAATCTCTCAGTGGGTACAGGAGGTACCTCTGAAGAGCAGGCAGTGCTCTGGTGAATTCTACTTGTTCAAAGCCACCTTGCTGAACAAGGTGTTCAACACTCAAACCCAGGGTGTCTCACTCTGGAGGCTTCTTTACCCTCACATACCATCTCCCTGACCACTGGGCATTCATGCCTTCACCTAGCTGCCTACCTAACAGATGTCCTCATCAGCCAAGCTCCTAACTCACCATTCCAGATCTTCCTACACCACAGCAATCCCAAAATGCATTTAGGAACCACTGACAACCTTGGAAGAGAAGGAGCTAAGTGAGACAACTAGGGGACATCAGGTACCAGAAAGGACTGCTACCTCACTGGCACCTCCCTGAAGGATTCTGGTGCCTGATGTGTTCCAAAGAGCTAAATAGACAAGGAGGCAGAAAAGCTGGCCCTACAAGCCCATGCTGGCCCCTCCCAGCCTCCAGTTCCCTGCTCTCCCAGCAATCTCTGTTCCCAAGGGCTGGCTCACCTGTCGGAGAAAGGTGATTGGTTGCTGGCCCATAGCCTGGGCATCCCCAATGTTGGCTCGGATGACCTCAGTGAATGGTTTTTTGATACCCTGAGCAGAAAGAAGGCAACAGGTGGTTACTTAAAAGAACTCTCAGACCCTGATTCCTGAGGTCAAGTAGTGTTCCCAAGAATGTTAATACTCGGTCTTATTTTGAGCCTTAGCAAGTGTCAAACCCTTGACATGGCTGGTTCCATTTAACCTTCAAGACCACTCCAGAAGGAAGTTGTATTTATCTTGTTCTACAGATAAGGAAACAGTCTGCAAAAGGCTGAGTAACTTGTCCAATGTCACATATTTGATAAATACAAGCAAGCACTGGGATTTGAACTCAGAAAGCAAGATCATTCTTAACCATCATGCTCCACTGCCTCTCTTTCCTGAAAGGCTGGAAGAGCTTTTCTGGCCAGCTGGGATGTCCTGAGACAGCTGCAAGCCCATGGCCTGTCACCTCATGGTATGTCTAAAGAAGGCTCTGGGGGCTGCACATGGTGTTCCACACTTGCTACTTAGGAGGTGGAAATAGGGGGATCGTGGTCAGAGTCCAACCCTACAAAAGATGTGATACCCTATCTGAAAAACAGACTAAAAACAAATGGGATGGGGGGAGGGGGAGGGTAGCTCAAGTGAGTGAGCACTTGCCTAGTAAGCATAAAGCCCTGAGTTCAAAACCCAGTGAAGAAGAAGAAAGAAGAGAAGGAGGATAAGGAGGAGAGGGCAGCAGCTCTAGGGCAAATGTGGTGGGAGAGCAGCAGGGGTCAACAGAGAAAGAAAGGACCCCAGACTCTGACCCTTGCCCCCAAGCACAGCTCTACTTCAACAGCTTAAGTAAATAGCCAGTGAACAGCGAGTTCCCCATCCTCTCCAGAAAACATCCAGCCACAGGGAAGTCTCAGGGTTATTCTCCAGCAACCCTGATTACAAAATATACAATATGGACTAATTTTCATATTTAAAAAAGAGCAGCAAAACAGAAAAATTAAAGAACAAAATTGTGGCCACTGTCTGAGCAATGTGTGTAACACCAAAAAGAGATCACAGAGAGAGGAGTCACTGGGAGACACCTCAGCTGCTGTAAAGGCAAAACAAAAACAAAAACAGAGGACTGTGGAGACAGGGAAATATGAGAGTTCCATGCAACTCCCAGATAAACCCAGAATTAGCTCCTGGAAGAACTGGAATGACAACAGGTTCAAGGACCTCCCAGGTGGCTGAAATAATCTGAGATAAACAGTGTGAACCAGGAAAAAGGAGGGAGAGGGGGGAGGGCAAGGAGGCTTCAGTGCCAAGAGGTGGCCCAGGTGGGAAAGCCTGGCCACCTTTCCATTTCCAGGTGCCCATTCCCAAAAGGTATCCCAGACACACAATTCTATGATTTTGTGGGGTTTTTTTTTGTGGGCCTGGAATTTGAACTCAGGGCTTTGTCCTTGCAAAACAGGCACTCTACCACTTGAGCCATGCCTCTAGTCCACTTTGCTCTGGTTATTTTGGAGATGAGATTTCATGAACTATTTGCCTGGGTTGGCCTGGAACTTCAATACTCCTGATCTCAGCCTCCCAAGTAGCTAGGAGACTACTGTTTAAAATATACACCTTAAATAAAAATCAGTGGGCTTGAGAGACAAAAGCAGTTGCCAAACAACTTTCCTGAGCCTAGTTTGCCATTCCTAAGTGAGGAGGCATGGTAGGCTAAGCAAAACAACACAGAAATGGCCTTGAGGCATTTCTTCATACATTGAGATTAAGCCTTTGAAAGTTATGGGGGGGGGCAGCAGCAGGAGAGCCCCTAAAAGCCTCCCCCTGCCACTTCAGGCTGGCCAACCTGGAGAGAGTTTCCTGGGACATCAACAAGCAGCCAAAGCAGGTGGTAGTACTACTCACTGTACCAGCTAGGCTAGGGGTGAGAACAGGCACCCTGGAGAGACTCAGGCTGCAGGCCTGTGGCCCAAGGACTCATCCCATAAGCAGAAGCCAAGAAGCCTAGCAATGGGGTTAATTACTCAAGTCACTGTGTGCAAAGTGACAGGCTTAGCCCACCCTTTGGCACTGGTCTGGGCTCTTGGTTCGGGGCCCTCCATTAATATGACTGAACTGCCACAGGTCTACAGCTAGCTGAACACAGGTGATTTCTCTGGTGTGTGCAGAGCCCATTCTTAGGTAAGTTGTAAATGTGTTCCAGCTGTGAGAGCCAGGAACTAACACACAGCTGCAGGCCCTGGACCCTAGGCCAGCACAATACAGGAAGAGAACAATCTTTGGAACAGAGCCCTGGATGTTCCTTTCCTGCACAGTGTCAGCCAATGCAGGACCTGTCAACACAGAGCCTGGGAACATCGGGCATCTCTTTTCTTAGGTCTTGATGCCTACAGATCCTGGACAATTCGCTATGATGGATGAGCTGGGGGGCAGAAAACTGGCTCCCTTGAATAGGAAAGAGGACCAGCCTACCCAGTCAATAGCAATCGCTAGGAGAAGACTCTTCTGGGCACACCAGGTCTACATAGGCTGAGGAATACCAAAGAGCCCTGGGCAGACTCCTGACTCTAGGGACTGGTCTAGGCTTGGTAGGTATACCCCATGATGACATTGCCCCAGCCCAGTCCAATCCCTGAGGCCAGGTCAAAGGGACTGAAAAGCATATAGTATCTTGGTTTTCTCTAACAGCATTCTAGAACCCACATGTCTAGTGCTCCTGCACATCCCATCCAGAATGGCCTTCCCTCATGGCACTAAGGGAAGGTCCTACCCAAGAAGGGCTCCCTTCCTACTACTTTGGCTCAGGCAGGGGTCAGGGGAGTAAGTCCCCCAAGCTCTGGGGAGTGGATGGCATATTTCAGAGGGTATTAGTGGGGAGAAGAAATTTATCATTGACCTTCCCAGCCCAGAGGCCCAGCATCACTGATAGTCAAGGGACTAATGGATGATTCTAATAGGCATATGGCAAAGCAAAGGAAATAATCAAAAATGAAAAGGCAACCTACTGGGGCTGGTAGAGTAGCTAGAGTGGTAGAGTACCTGCCTAGCAATCATGAAGCACTGAGTTCAAATCCCAGTACTGCCAAAAAAAGAAGAAAAAAAAAAAGGCAACCTACAGAATGGGAACATATGCAAACTATATATCTGAGAAGGGGTTAATATCCAAAATATATTAAAAGACTTAAACTCTATAGAACAAAAATAAACCAATTAAAAAAATGGGCAAACAATCTAAATAGACATTTTTCCAAAGACATAAAAAAATGACTAACAGAAGAGGGGCTCAACACCACTAACCTAACGTAATCAAAGCAGACAAGATCACATCTGTTAGGAAGCCTATCGTTAAAAAGTAAAAAAATGCTGTGGGTATGGCTCAAGTGGTAGAGCTCCAGCTAGCAAGCACAAAGCCCTGAGTTCAAACCCCAGTACCGACAAAAAGTCAAAAAGTAATTATTGCCTTGTATGTGGTAAATATAAACCATTTTGGGAAATTGTGTGGAGTTTCCCCAATAAATTAAATAGATAAGCTGGATGTAGTGTCACATACCTATAAGCTTAGCACTGAAGGTGAGGTAGGAGGATCACAAGTTCAAGGCCAGCCTGGGCTACATAGTGAGACCCTGTCAAGAGAGGAGGGGAGGGGAGGGGAGGGGAGGAAAGGAGAGGAAAGAGAGGAGAGAGACAGAACTACTGCAAGATCCAGCAATCCCACTTTTGAGTACATAGCTAAAGGAAATGAAATCAGTATCTCAAAGAGATGTACATTTCTGTGCTGGCAGCATGGCTCAAGTAATAGAATAACTACCTAACAAGCTCAAGGCCCTGAGTTCAAACCATAGCACCACACAAAAAGAAAAATGTACACTGCAGCCATTGTTCATAATATGGAATTTATTTATGTGGAATAAACCTTAGCATCTGTCAACAAATGAATGGAGAAAGAAAATATGGTATTTATATGGATTCAGCAATATAAAGATGGAAATTCTGACATTGGAGACATAAGACAAACCTGGAGGACATTGTGCTAAGTGAAAGTTGGATACAGAAAGACAAATATGTTATGATCTCACATACATATGAAATCTAAACAACTTGAACTGACAGAGGTAGAGAGTAGGTGGTGGGTGCCAGGAATTGGGAGTAATGGGGAAACATGGGTGAAATGGAAATAGACTTTCAGTTATAAGATGAGTAAGTTCTGGAGAGCTAATGTACAGCATAGTAACTACAGCTAATAATACTAAATTGTTTACTTGGAATTTGCTAAGATGATAGATGTCAAATGTTCTCATCCCTTCCCCCACACAAAAGTAACTATGTGTGATGATGGGTGTGTAAATTGTGGTAATCTTCTAATATATATATATATATATATATATATATATATATATATATATTATGTTGTACATCTTGAATATACATAATTTCTATTTGTCAACTATACCTTAATAAACTGGGGGAAAAAACAGGAACAAGACAGTTTCCTTGTGCAAGGAGTGTTCTTGTTATTTCATAAGACACATGGACAGGAAGGCCAGGTAGAGTGATTACACCCCCAAAAACCTCCTTTTTGTTCAACAAATACCTCCAATACAGAAAAAGGAAAAAAAAAAAGAAAACCAAAATAAATACTTATTGATAACTCATAATCATGCCGTTGTAACATGAAGACAAGAAGTGAAGAGTACAAGGAAGGGGGTGAACAGGGAGTGAGAAAGACATCATGTCAGGCCCCAGAAACCATCTGTGAAAACTCCAACACCTCCTGACACCAAATGGGCAAAGAATTCGACTAGGGAAGGCAGAAAGTCCTATAAAGTGCTTCTGAAGGAGACTCTAGAGACAAAATCCAATTAGACCTTATAGGCCCTAACAATAAGTACATTTCATAGAGGAGGAAACTGAGGTCTAGCCCTGATATAAGACAGACAAGTCAGAAGAAACCCAAGAGGCAGCTACAGGTTTCCACAATTGAGAGATTAGGTGAGAGCTCAAGGGCTGTGTCTCCCAAGCACTAAAGCAGTGACACAGGCTAGGTGGCCCTTGAACTCTGGGGATCAGTGGGACAACTGTAGAGGCCAAGATTTGTTAGGCAGAAGCAGGGATGAGTGGCGGGTGCCAGTGGATCACCCCTGTAATCCTACTACTCAGAAGGATCACAGTTCAAAGCCAGCCCAGAAAAATAGTTTGTGAGACTCTTATCTCAAAAAAACTCATCACAAAAAAAGGGCTGGTGGAGTGGCTCAAGGTATAGACCCTGAGTTCAAACCCCAGTACTGCCAAAAAAAAACCAAAAAAAAAACGCAGGGATGAAAGCTTAATGATACCCAAATTGAATCATTCATGGCAGCAAGGCTGAGGCCCATGCAGAAAAAAGCAAGCCCCACAGTGTATTCCCAGACCCAGAGAGATTCAGGAGAAAGAAAAGAAAAAAGGGACTCTCAGCACTTCTTAAGAAATTCTCATTAGTTTGAAAACAAAGACATGGAGTCTTGTCGTGTTGCCCTGGCTGGTCTGAAATCATGGGCTCATGTGATCCTCCTGCCTCAGCCTACTGAGGAGCTGGGCTAAGACTGTTAACAAATTTAATTGGTTTCTAGCAGTTCAAAGCATTACCACTGCATAGGAAACTAGTTTTTTAAGAAATAAATAGGCTTCATTTTACAGAAGAGTAAACTAAGGCCAATGTACTCTAAATAACTTGCCAGAGGCCCACAGCACCTGAAGGCAGACAGGATGCAGGCCTGCAGCGTGGACAGGGCAAGGGGTCATCCTGTTGGAAGCCTACACTAGTTTTTCTTACTTGTTTTATTATTCCATTTTCCTTATTTTAAAGTAACATGTAAAGCTATGAAAATGACCAGCCATATTCTACCACTTGTGCTTGGCATATCCATGGTCACCAATTTTACTTCTTGGTTAACAATAACAACAGCAGGGTGTTATCCTTACATTCTATTTTACCTGTGTTTACGTGCAAAACATGTTAACAATACCAGTTTCCTGTTGCTAAATGTTTTGCCCTGTGTGTACTTTTGTTTTGTTGAGACAGGGTTTGCTATGTTGCCGAGGCTGGTCTCAAGGAACTCTCCTGCCTTAATCTCCTAAATAGCTGGGATTATAGCATGCACCTCTGGACTTGGCATGTATATGTTTTTACAAATAGAAAAAGTAAAGCCATTCCTCTTCCAAGCCTCAGTCCCCACCCACAATGAGGCAAGCGAGAAAGAAGTAGGTCAAGGAATTGTCAGATCTTTTCAAAACTCCTTTAATTGCAGCTTATTTTTAAATGCTGCTCCCAATGAACACCGGGATCTGAAAAGCTAAGAAAGGTTCTCTACCTTTGAGTTGCTGTCAGGAAGAAAAAGGGCCTCCCTGAGAACAAATAGCCTGGGCTGGGGAAGAAAGGCTCCTTCCACCCTTAGCCTTCTCCCTTTTTCCTTCAGGCTTTTCATCAGTGGAGCAAAAAGGGTGAGCACTCAGTTTTGCTAGCCACCCTAAAGTCAAACACCAGAGCCATATGTCCAGCCAAACAACCTGTAACTGTTTGCAGAACACCTACTAAAACAATTCTATAAAGCAGCATAAAGATCCTAGTACAACCAGGGGTCACCTCAGGTCTCCCAGGATACTTTGAGTTACAAAGCTCAGGACAGAGGGGAACACAGGGCCAGCCAGAATACTTCCCTCCTTCAAACTGGGAAACTGAGGCTCAGAGATGATATGAAATTTTACTTTAAGTCACCCTACTCTCTACAAATTCTAGTCCATCCTCTCTTACCAAATCTAACCCCTCAGAACACTTGTCCAGTTTTGATCACTACAGTTCAAAACAGAAGTAGAAAAACTAAAGCTGTGAAGAGCCAAAGATAAGTGAACAAATAAAAAGAAAGACTGACAAAATACAGCTCTCTCAGAAAGGGCATTGTTTAAGTTGGCAAAATGAAGAGGGAGGGCCTGTCTTCTAAGAATGAAAGGCTTAAGGGAGGCTATGCTGGTTAGGTTGGGGGTATACTCCCAGCACCTTCAGCCAGGCAACCAAGACTCTATGAAGTGAGAAAAGAACAGGAAGGGGACAGAAAACGTCTCAACTAACTCAGGGGTAGGACATGGGTTATGAAGCACATGTCACAGAAACCAGAGGATGCCTCCATCCCAATGACCGAGAGATTTATCTGCGTACGACTGAGCCATACACTCCTGCTGGAAACCTTTCCTGGTTCACCATAGCCAACCAAAATGCACCATAATGTCCTCAGCCAGGCACACTAGACTCCAGTCCACTTTTTCCATCTCATTCGCCTCCCACATCCCTCAGCCACACAAAGTTCTACTGAGGGCTCCAACCCCCTTTCCCAAATGCTCAGAACTTCCCAACCCCCTGCCTTTGCTTTGCTCCAGCACCATTTCCACTTGGAATAATCTCACATTTTCTCTGCGTCCTGAAAAATCCTTAATGGATTGGGGGAGGAGAGGCTGAGGGAATAATATGGCAGTCAGCTCTCTGAAAGCAAAGACAGTACCCTCTCTGTCCTCATCATCCTCATACTTTGTGGAGCCAACAGGGAAGTTGCTATTTAGCAAAAGGTAGAGATAATTTCTGGAACCCCTCCCAGCTCTGAAACTGGGAACACTTTAATCCCAGCTTTGTTTTAACAGGGAGACTGCTGCCTCAAGGAGGGCCAGCTGCAGTCTGCCAGGTATCAACTGATGAGCAGAGCAGCAAAAACACATGCTCTCTGCCCCGGCCCACCTCTGGGCCAGGCAGGCACAGAAATGGGGCTGACCTTCTTCCAGCCAAGCTTTAAACTTAACTTTAAACTGCAAGGAGTCAGCAGTGGACACTGGACTCTGACTTGTCCAGCTCACTGATTGAGTCAGCAGAACTGGGTGTCCCCATAAGGACCCAGCAGGCCATAAGCTCATCAAACTCCTTAAGTCCTCATAGGACCAAGTGTCATATTCTCCCTGGGACCTCCTCTCATGTATTCAAGGATACCAAGTGACCACCTTGCACTGAAGACATTCAATTTTAGTGCCTCTGGGAATAAAATCATGGAACCTTCCCCTCTGTCAACATTCTGGGTCAGAGTTATCTTGAGCAAGCAGCTAAGTGACTATTTCAATGGTTTCTTCTTCTTTTTTTTAAAAAAAAGGTGTTTTCTTTTTTATAAAACCCTTCTTGATGCTGCCTTCAAATTCTATCCAGGTCAGAAGTATCCTAGCTGGACGTGGGCGAGGCATGCCTGTAAGCCTGTGATCTTAGTGCTGGGGAGACTAAGGAAGGAGAATTGCAAGTTCGAGGCCAGCCTAGACACACAGCAACATCTTGCCTCAAAAACAAACAAAAACCCTCAATATCCTAGGAGCGCACGTATCACACCTTCCCCAGCCATCCTTGTTATAAGGACGTGGAAATCGCTCCTGGCTGTGGTCACTTTGACATACAGATATGAACCCAAGTTGAGATCTCAGCCAAGATGAAGTCCCAGGGACACCTTATTAATGTCCAACCCTCTGAGTCCTCACAACTGGTGACTGTACTCAGATAAGTGGCTGATCAGTCAGGGTTCTGGAGAAACATAAAAGACGGAATTCTGTCCGACCCTCCTCCACTCGCCCACTCTTGTCAGGGAACGATGACTGGCAAAGACCCAACATACTTCAGGCACAAGGAAAAAGCTTCAGGAACAAACCCTCCTCACAGCCTGCCTCCCTCCCTCCCGTCCTACCGAACAGGATTCCCTCTCACCACCCATCCAGAAACCCTGTTCCGCTCTCCTCTTTTACTTTCTTCAAAGCACTTACTATCTGAAACTCTCTCCTTCCTTTATGAATTTGTTTTTCTCCCTCCAGTGGATCTTGGTTCCACGAGGGGTAGGGCACATAGGAACGTGCAGTGCCTGGCAGCACAGGTCACTCAATAATTAAATACAATTCAACAAGTGAACCATTTGAAGGTCTTACTTTGTACCAGGTGCCGGACACTATAGTGGGTGAGGGATTGGAGAAGGACGTTCTCTTGTTTTAGCCAAGCTTGGCAGAAGGAAGGCACTGGCCACGGGGGATGGGAGGAAGTCCAGCAGGAGGACCCCGGAGGGGCTGCCCCGGCTCTACCCTCCATCAGCGCCCCCTCGCCGCCCGCGGCCCCCGCGCCCGCGCTCACCCGCTGCAGCTCCAGCTCGATCTCGCCAGCCTTGAGCACGATAGGTCCCCGTACTGCGTACTCCACCGCCTTCACCTGCGGGTTCATGGACTCCAGCGTGAGGATGCGCTCGCGCGGGCTGCGCTCGGGCCGCACCTTGAGCACGGCCGAGGCCTCGGCAGCCGCGCTGCTCTGACTACGGCCCCAGGGGCCGGGGGACCGGGGACAGCAGCCCCGCCGGACAAGCACCGCCGCCCGCTGCATCGCGCGCCTCCCGAAGGAAACCTTGGCACAAAAAGGAAGAGAACAGCACGTCGCGCACAGCCCAAGGCGGACACCCGCCCCCCTCACAAGCGTAGCCAAGAGCTCTTTTTGCGAGGAGTGCCAGCCTAAATCCGCGTCAGGGTACCCATCCCCCGGTGCCTGGGACCCTCCACCGCACCACTGCTGTGCCGAAGGCTTGCACAATCGGGGTTTCCACAGGCTGGGCCCAAAGCATGTAAGCAACGTGCCTGTCGCTGCTTGACCGCCCCTCACCGCGCGGGAATAAGTAGCCCGCCTGAAGTGCTCCTGGGCGCCGACGCCCGCAACCGCATCCCTGCGCCAGGCTCCCGCACCGCCCGGCGTTCTGAGCTCACACACCCACTGCCGGCGAGTCCGCGCGGCCTGCGCGCTGGCTCCTGGGCCTTGTAGTTCTTCTGGCCGTCCCGGAGCGGAGGCGGAGAGCTGGGCGAACTACAAGTCCCACAAAGCTAAGCGCGGGCCTGGACGGGGATCGGGCTGGAGGCGGGAGAGGTAATCTGGTTCTGCCCCGGGCTGGGCCGGCTCTTTGTAGCTACAGAAGGGACCTAGGGGTTTCGGCTTGGACCAGGGCTGTGCTCTCTGCCGCTTGTGAGAGTTAGAGCTATTTCCCAGGACCCACATTCCTCCTTCCTCCAACCTCACCTTCCAACACCTGCAAAGACAGGCTGCTAGATGGTGCAGTCTTCCCCTGAAGTTTCATCATCCAGGGCCATATGGTGCTACTGGCCACTCATCGCAGGCTGATAGGAAGTTAGGGATTTGAGACTTGATTGTGCCAGTTTGGTGTTAGGGTGAACAAAAGGAAGTCATGTTTGAACTGGACCCCCTCCCCCTTGAAGGTGATTTACTGGAAACTTCACCCGGCCCTAAAGAAAAATAAACATCTACCTTTAACTATTTACTAGAAACAACCCACCTGGCCTAAAAGAAATGACCCGCTATTTCTCAGGAGGGTCAGAGGGCCATTGAGCATTTTCCCACTCAGTGACCTTTTTGGGACTTCTCCACCCATCTCCTGTAAGTCTGTAGGTGGTTAGGGGCTCCAGCTCTCTTGCTGGGGTCCCGTTCCGCAGGGCCACATCTCCAAAATAATTCCTTTGCTGGCAGTGAGCTGACTTCCCGCCTATCTATCCTGCATCTCTAACTTGGCCCCTTTCTCAACGTCAGTTTCCTTGTCAGCAAAAACCCCTGAAAGGGTTGTTGTGAGAATTAAAGAACAACATACCAAGTGGTAAGGTTGTTCCTGACTGCTCCATCTGAAACCCTCCCCCACCTCTATTACTCCCGTTTTGTTTCTTTCCTAGTATTTAAATTTATCTTATTTAGTTACTCTTCACTGGCTTATGGTCTACTTTCCCCTTCTGTAAGCTCCAGAAGGGGAGGAAGTCTGTTTTTCTTGTTCATTGCATTCACCTCACCTGTAAAGTTCTGGCACACAGTTAGGCACTCAGTAAATATTGGTTGAATAATGAATACTCAGCAAGGGTGGCCATTCATTATTTTGGCAACGGTATCTCTAACCAGTAGGTTCCCTGGCTCACACAAAGCAAGTGTGGAGCAAGACTAGGTAGTAAAGCTAGAGTGGGAATAGAATACCCAGAGTCTATTGAGATATCAAAAGAACAGGAATAGAAGAGAGAATGGAGAGGAGTCACCTCCCTCTCTCTGCCTCAGACTCTTTATCTGCAAAATAAACTGGACTAAATGGCCTCTCCAGTTCCTTCCTGTTATGGAAATTCTGAGTCTAGGTATTTTCAGACACAAAAATAACCTAGAGCTCCCACACTCCAACAAATACATGCATTCACATTAGGTTTGTAAAAGTTGGGGTCAGAAGGCACATAATAAACCCAACACTGTAGGGGAGAAGGTAAGCAGGAAATCTGGGTTTGAATATGTTGCATGCAAGGCCTGGAGTGTAGTATAGTGATAGAACACTTACCTAGTATGCACAAGGCCCTTACTTGAATATAGTTGCAAATAGTCATTTACTGTTTAGCTCACTTTGAACATGTTACTTAGCCTATGTAAACTTAGTCTCTCCATGTGCAAAATGGGAATAACAACACCTACCTGGTGCAACTGTGGAAAAAGTTCAAGGAGGTACTATGTAAAAATCAAAGCTTGGATACTAATGCTATGAGTCACTCTTGTTCGTCCTTGTCAATAGAATGCTCTATACTTTGATTAAATAAATTGGTTACCAATAAAAGGGGAAATGGAGGAGAGGGGAAGAGAACAGAAACCAAAGATATCTCTGACTGTCCCTATGTTAATGAACTGGCTTGACTTAAGGAAGAAACTGAAAAGTTGTTTGAACGTCTCATCTACTAGTTATGCCTCTGGTACCTGTATCTTCATGGTCCCCTTCCCAACTTTTGTCTCAATGGCCAGGTATTCAGTCTTCAGGTTAAAAATTCTCTCACGGTGAACTTAGCTCCTCCAAAGACCCACGGCCTTTACTGTCATGTCCCCAGTTGAGGAGACACACAAACACACCCTCTACTCCGCAGCATGCTTATTTTGACCTATATATGATGTAAATGCATTCCCTTGCTATCCATAGAGTCAGTACACTATGTCCTTCCTGCTGTCTTTGCTCCAGCTTGGTAGGGACAGGAGAGCTGGATTTTAAGGAGTGACTCAATTGGTTAAGTACCTGCCTGCCTAGCAAGTGTGAGGCCCTGAGTTGAAGCCTTAGTGTCACCAAAAAAAAAAAAAAAAAAAAAGAAGAAAAAGCCCATTTGCACAACTGAGAAAAACAATACCTAGCAAACAGTCCATTTATTTGGGCTCCCACGTCATCATCGTGAAAAAAAACAAGTAGTTAGTGTCCCTAACTTGTCCTTTGCCTAATGTCTCTGAGATTGCGTAAGAAAGCTCTAGGGGCTGGGGATGTGGCTCAGTGGTAGAGGCCTGCCAAGCATTCTAGAGGCCTCAGATTAATCCCCAGCATCAAAAAAAAGAAGAAAGGGAGGGAGGAAGCAAGGAAGGAAGGAACGAACGAACGAAGGAAGGGAGAAAGAAGAAAGAGAAAGAAAGGAAAGAAAGAAAGATCCCTTGTGAACCACTTTCTGCCCTTTTGGGCAGAAAGTATTATCTCTAATTTACAGTCTCAGAGAGGTTTAGCCGTTGTTTAGGTGACACAGCTAAATGTAGATTGTAGAGTAGGAATTGTGTTTCCTAATCCAGTGCTATAGCCACCCCCTACCACCACAGAGACCAGTCTTGCATAATTCCCTGAGTGTGGAAATTTGAACTGTCCATTGCAATGCACTAGCCTTTAAAGTTTCTAGATGGTAATTGTGATGATGGTGGTAGTAACAGCATGAACTTTGCTGTTATTTTGCTCTCCAGATCAATTGGGGGTGGAGTAGAAACAGGATCCTAAATACTAAATATAAAACCTGATTGAAATGATCTTAATGCTTTTCCTGTGACCTAGAAGAGAACTTTAAATATGCAGCAAATACTGTCCACCCATACAGTTGGGATAGTTATGTGTTTGCAAGCCATACCTGTCTTTATTCCTTAATTCAACAAGGTTTTATTGGACACTTACCATGTGCAGCGCAGTGGACTAAGTTCCAGGACATCAGTAAATCAGATCATCCCTGCCTGCATAGACCAGCAATTTCTTAGCAAAAGCAGACATCAACCAGCTCATCATACTTATAGACTTGTGATTACAAACTGTGATAACTACTGGGGAGAAAAAGGATGGCATTTGATGAGAAATCAGAGGTCTGAGTGAAGATTTCCCAGATTAAGTAGCTTGGGAGCATCCCAAGGATGATAAAGGATAGCAGTACTGGCAGTGTGGCAGCCACAGAGATGTGCCTTGCCTGAGTTCACAGCCATGTCCTAACTGAAAAGGCTAACACTCCGTCATTGAACAAGGCAAGGTCTAAGAATCTGGGTGACTCCTTTGCTTCAGGGCTTTCCCAGAAGATTGGCTGAGGCTTTGTCAACTGTATCAGTTTTTCTTTCTCTGTCCATCCCACTTCTTCCTGCAGGAGTTGATCCCTAATATACATTTTGCACCTCACACCCCAGTTTAGTGTCAGTGGTGAGATGGACAACTTCCTGGGCCAGGAAGTCTGAGAAATTCTAAGGCCAGGGTGACTGGGGGCCAACAGTGATAGAGGACAGGGCTGCAGACAGGTGGCAGAGATGTAAGTGGTGTCAGGACATGCAAGTCAGATCCTGAATGTAAGAATTTTAGTATTCCCTGAAACTATGAAACTACTAGAAGAAAACATATCAAGACATCAGAATAGGCAATGATAATTTTAGACAAGACCTCAAAAGCACAAACAAGAAAAGAAAAAATAAGGATTATACCAGAAAAAATGGGATTATATCAAGTTAGGAAGCTTCTGCAGTTTGGTGGAGTAGCTCAAGCAGTACAGCACCCGCCTAGCAAGTATGAGGCCCTGAGTTCAAAAACCCCAGGGCTGCAAAAAAAAAAAAAAAAAAAAGAAAAGAAGAAGAAGAAGAAGCTTCTGCACAACAAAGGAAAGAATCAGCTGAGTGATGAGACAACCTGCAGAATGAAAGAAAATATTTCCATCTAACAAGGAATTAATATCCAGAATATATAAGGAACTTAACAGCAAAAAAGGTACTCTAATTTAAAAATGGGCAAATGATCTGAATAAATGTTTCTCAAAAGAAGACAGGCCAATAGGTGTGTTAATAAATGCTCAATGTCACTAATCATCAGAGAAATCAAAATATAAGGAGATATCATCTTACCCTAAATAGAAGAGCTATTTTAAAAAATACTGGCTAGGATGTGGAAAAAGGGAAACTCACACATTGTTTTGTGGGAATTAAATTAGTATAACCATATAGGAAGCAGTACGGAATTTCCTCAAAAAATGAAATAGAACTATATATGATGGAGTAATCTTACTACTGGATATATAGCCAAAGGAAATTAGCATATCAAAGAGATAGCTACAATCCCATGCTTAT